TTATTCTCGCTTGCTGGTCACTTCTGTTTGCATGAAATGGCTTTTTCCACCCCCTCACTTTGAATCCACGCGCGTCCTTTGCCCAGAGGTGGGACTCTTGTGGGCAGTACACTGTCCGTTCTTATGTTTTGATCCAGTCTGCTACTCTGCGTCTTCTCATTGCAGCATTCAGACCATTGACATTTAGGGTGATTATTGGTACATTAGGGCTTCCCAGGTGGTACTGGTGGTAAAGAACCCATTTACTAATACAGGAGACATAAAACACACAAGTTCAATCCCTGGGTCGGCAAGATCCCCTGGAGAAGGACATGGCATCCCACTCTAGTAGTCTTGCCTGGAGAATCCCATGGACAGAGGAGCCTAGCGGGTTACAGTCCATGGGGTCGCAAAGAGTCAGACACGACTGATGCAACTTAGCTTCACGTAATTATTGCCATTTTAAACCTTGTTTTCCAATGAATTCTTTGTTCCTTCTCTGTTCCTTTTTCTTTTTGTGGTTTGATGATTTTCTTTTGTTTTATGCTTGTATTCTCTTTTTGGTTTTGTGAATCTACTGTATGTGTTTGATCTGTGGTTGCCCTGTTTTCAAGTATGTTCAGTTCAGTTCAGTTCAGTCACTCAGTCGTGTTCGACTCTTTGCGACCCCATGAATCGCAGCACGCCAGGCCTCCCTGTCCATCACCAACTCCCGGAGCTCACTCAAACTCATGTCCATTGAGTCAGTGATTCTGTCTAACCATCCCTTCTCATCCTTTGCCATCCCCTTCTCTTCCTGCCCTCAATCTTTCCCAGCATCAGGGTCTTTTCCAGTGAGTCAGTTCTTTGCATCAAGTGGCCACAGTATTGGAGCTTCAGCTTCAGCATCAGTCCTTCCAATGAATATTCAGTACTGATTTCCTTTAGGATTGACTGGTTTGATCTCTTTGCAGTCCAAGGGACTCTCAAGAATCTTCTCTAGAACCACAATTTGAAGGCATCAATTCTTTGGTGCTTAGTCTTCTTTATGGTCCAATTCTTATTTCTGTACATGACTACTGGAAAAACCATAGCTTTGACTTTACAGATCTTTGTCAGCAAAGTGATATATCCCTGCCTTTTAATACGTTGTCTAGGTTTGTCGTAGCTTTCCTTCCAAGGAGCAGGTGTTGTAATTTCATGGGTGCAGTCACTGTCCACAGTGATTTTGGAGCTCAAGAAAATAAAATCTGCCGCTGTTCCTCTTTTTCACCTTATATTTGCCATGAAGTGATGGGACTGGATGCCATGATCTTAGTTTTTCAAATATTGAGTTATAAGCCAGCTTTTTCACTTTCTTCTTTCACTTTCATGAAGAGGCTCTTTAGTTCTGCTTCACTTTTTGACATTTAGAGTGGTATCATCTGCATATCTGAGGTTGTTAATATTTCTCCTGTCAATCTTGATTCCAGCTTGTGAGTCATCCAGCCTGGCGTTTCCCATGATGTGCTCTGCATATAAGTTAAATAAGCAGGTGACAATATGCAGCCTTAACAGACTCCTTTCTCAATTTTGAACCAGTCCATTGTTCAGTGTCTGGCTCTAACTTTGCTTCTTAACTTGCCTACAGGTTTCTCAGGAGGCAGGTAAGGTGGTCTGGTATTCCCATCTATTTAAGGATTTTCCACAGTGTGTTGTGATCCACACAAAGGCTTTATTTAGCTTAGTCAGTGAAGCACGAGCAGATGTTTTTCTGGAGCTCCCTTGCTTTTTCTGTGAACCAGCAGATGTTGGCAGTTGGATCTCTGGTTCTTCTGCCTTTTCTAAACCCAGCTTGCGTATCTGCATGACTCTGGTCTCTGGAGTTCCCTCAGGCAGTACTGTCCCTGTCCTGTCGGTTCCGTCCAGTTTTATTTGGTATGATTTGAATCTATGGTATTAAGTCCATACTGTTGTCATTCTGCAAACAAACCGGCCAGCTCTCTCATCAGCGAAGCAAGTGTACTCGGGAGTGGCAGAGGACACGCACGCTGCGGCCGGCGGCCGTGGGCGGGTCCTGCAGGCAGGGGAGGGGGCCTCACCGGAAAGCCAGGAGGAGGAAGTCGGGTGCTTTGAGAGTCGGTTGAGGACAGCGAGGGTCGGGTGGTGGCTGCTTCCCCTTGGCCGGGCTCCCTTCCTCGTCGCGGGGCCAGCGCCTTCCTGCCCGGAGTGTAAAGCGAGTGTGCGGGCGGCGCGTGCAGGAAGTGCCCCTGCTGGGCTCCGGCTCGCTCCCCGCGGCTCCCTGGCTCATGTGCATGCTTGGTGGGACTGTAAGCTCTTTCTGTGGTGTCGTCTGTCCTAATCACAGGCCCTCTCATCTGGGTGATCCTTCGTGCCTGAACGTCTGCCTGTCTGGCCAGCCACAGGCCTCCCTCTGGGGGCAGCCCTTCCCCCAGCTCCTAGCTCTCCTTTTAAATCTTCACTTGTGCCCACTCTGTGGTTTGGTTATTTCTGAGTTTTTATGAAATGCTCAGTGATCACGTTTTTAATTTTTCTAGGACTGTGTCTTTTTGATTGCAGCCTATTCATACTTTTCTCTGTTGACGTCTTCCCAGCACTTTGAGATGACAATGGAGCGTGGGACATGCCTTCTCTTGGCCGTCTGCCGGAGGAGCTTGGTACTGCTTCCTCTCTCCACGTTGGCGTTTTCTACACAGGCTGGGTGATTCTCAGTTGTTGGTTCATGTTTATATGCGTGTGGGTCTTAAACTGACCTGTTTACACCTGTAGCCCACCCAGGGCACCCATTGTGCCCCTGGATCTGACCACAGGTGTGGTTTCTCATGTGTTACCGCATGGGACGGGTGTGACATGTTTATGCACCCTGATGTGGGCGCTGCACAGGCCCGGCTGGCACTGTGAGGGTCCTCCAGGCGAGAGGAGACTTCTGGACCGAGCCCTGTGGCATCACGGCTTCGCTTCTTAAGCCGCCGGGTTAGATCCTCCTTCCACATGCTCCCGGGTGCCTGCCTGTCCTCGTGTTCATCTTTGTGCTTTCCGCTGTCTCCATGGTTCTGGGAGGATGCTGTTCAGGTGCCGTCTTGAAGGGAGAGGCAGGCCTTAGTTTCACAAAATGTCAAAAATTTGAAGACATCTATGTGCTAGTGAGTTGACTTCTTACGTTCATTTATTATTCTTAGGAGAGTAAGCTGTGCTTGGTTAATTGGGAGTCTGTTTTGCATAAGTTTGCATTTATTAATAACTGTGCTTTTAAAGATTGTAAACACACCTGTGTCATATGATTTGTTCAGAGTGCCAATTGTGCTTGCCCAATGTGTGTGAGTTAGAAACTCACTTGGGGGGCTGGGAGTAACTTCTCATGGCTACAGGGCTTCTTTCAGGGGTGATGGAATGAACCAAAGTGGCAATGGTCGCACAACTCTTGTGAATATACTAACCACTCCATGGGACAATTTAAGTGGGTAAACTTTATAGTATGGGAATTACAGAGCAATGAAGATGTGATAAGATAACTTGCTGCAATAATTTTAAGCGCCGCCCCCCCCAACTGCTGGGGGACCCTGGCCCATGGTGTGTGGGGCTGAGCTGGGTCCCGGGCTCTGTGAGCGCCCTCTGGAAAGGACCTTCCTCTCCCCGAGTTACCGGGGCCCCCACACACACCGAGGAGTTGGTGGGGAGCGAGACTGCAGCCCAAGCGGTCTCTCGTCAGCCGCTGTGTCTGCCCGAGGCCGGCTGTGCTGCAGGGCGGCCCGTGCTTACCCACCTGACATCCTGAGTACACGCCGCATGACGGGCAGCAGCGAGCTGCCCTCCTGACTCTCTGCAGATGGTCAGGATGTTGGCTGTGCCCTGGCCTCGGCTCTGGGGCCGTGACCATGATCCCGCATCAGTTCAGCCTGAGCAGAGGCCTCGGAGCTGCGTGGCTCCAGGCAGGCTCCACTGGGGGTTGAGGGGGCAGGGCCACAGGGGCCAGGGCACTCACAGGGCAGCCGGCTGCTAGGTGCCAGCCTGCACGCCTATTCCCCTGGGCGCTAGCTCCCTGGGTGCCCCCCTTTGGCCAGGGGTCAGTCTGAGCCCACGGCCCTTGGCACAGGGGCAGCGGAATCGGCTCCTAGCTCTTTGTGGGGGAAGTGCAGGCCCCTGGCCCAGTGTAGAGTGGTCTTTGCCAGAGGAGAGCAGGCCCGGGGGTGGGAGGACGCTTGGTAGAATTGGAGTCTGTGCTGGGACCTGTCTGCCCGCCGTGCCAAGGCAGCAGGGGTGGTGGCAGCACCGGGCCCGGGGCAGAGACTTGGGGCACCAGGGGCGGTCCAGCTCTGCAGGCCATGTGCACCCCGGCTCCTGGCTCCTGTGAGGCTCGCCGGTCGCACAGGGCATGTCTGCCTCCCCCTCGTGCCCCTGCGGCCTGCTCCCGTGGCTCCCAGGACAGCCGTGCTACAGGCGGAGGTATGCCTGCAGACTTGCTCGCGACTGGCCTGTGCACACCAGCCTGGCCAGAGGCTGGCGTGGGGCTCATGCGGAAGGCTGGGTGGGCGCGGGCAGAAGGCTGGCCTGGGGCCCATGCGGAAGGCTGGGTGGGCATGGGTGGAAGGCTGGGTGGGCCTGTGGGGAAGGCTGGGCGGGTGCAGGCAGCCAGGCCTGGGCGCTCAGCCACGGGAGGGGCCCTTGCAGTGGAGCGAGTGGACTTGGGGCCTGTGTTTAGCGTTCAGCGCCACATGGCCGGCTTACCCGGAACCCTTCCCAGACTCACTGAGTGCGGGGCCTTGGGAAGGGCTCTGCCCTCTGGGCTGCCCTGACCCACTGCACCCTGGCGGAGGGCGCCTCGGGGCATGTAACGCTGGGGGGAACTTGCACCCCATGTTCACACATACGATTTTACTGGAACCCCTGAGAAAACTGAGAAAACATTTTGCAAAAATGAAAGGAAAGAGTAGACCTTGACTCTCCACCTTAAGCTGCCGAGGCAGTCACCTGACGCCGACAGTATTAACGACTGGCCGGCTCGCCTGCTGGGGTCCGCGGTAACGTGTTGTGTTGTGTCCTAGGGAGGCGTCAGATCCACCACCTGGGGAACCAGCTGCAGCTGAACCAGCACTGCCTGGACACCGCGTTCAACTTCTTCAAGATGGCCGTGAGCAAGCATCTGACGCGGGGCCGGAGGATGGCGCACGTGGTCGCGGCCTGCCTGTACCTGGTGTGCCGCACAGAGGGGACCCCGCGTATCCTTTGCTGGGCTGCCCTCTGCTCGCAGCTCCCCCGTCCTCAGTGCCTGTGTGTGCTGGGACGCCTGTGCATTAGCCGTCGGGAGGGAGGTGAGGTGCAGGCTGCGGGTGGCGCCGCTGGGCGCCACCAGCCCGCCGCCCCAGGGCTCTGCAGTGTCCCCCTGCACTGGGCCAGCTGTGGCCCGGCCAGATCCGGGGCCCGTCGGGCGGCTGCGCAGGCCTGCTGGGCTCACCCCTCCCAGCCCCGTGGCTTCTCAGAGGGGACGGTGTGCGGCCTCCCTGTGCCTGGACGGCGGGCTCGGCGTGGGCATGGGCCTGCCCAGCACGCCTCCATGAGGATGTCCTCTGGGGCTCTGTGCCCGCGCACTCCCCCGTGTCTCCTGTCTCCTTTCCCGTCCCACTGGGCCCCTCACCTCCCATGCAGATTGTACTGCTGGCCCCATGTCCTCCCACAGCTTCTGAGAGTGGGTGCCGTGAGCATCCGCCTGCCCGCGGTTTTTCTTCTGCACATTGGGGACAGCCTGGCAGGATTCCGGGGGCACGTTGGTCTCCCCGGGATTTGTACACAAGTGCCAGTCAAATCTTCCTGCATCCTGTGGAGCAGTGCTGCGCCCTGAGTCTGGGCCTTGCTTCTGGGTCCTGTGTGTGGACAGCTGTGTGTGCTCGGGCTGTGGCACCCCCCATGTCTGCAGGCTCAGAGGCCCACGTGCGCTTCCCGGCGGCCCTTCCACCCGCCTGGGTCTCCGGGCTCTGGAGTCCCGCGGGCCTTTCCCTGTGTCCTCTCTGCTCGCCCTGCTGCCCCGCTGACTGTCTTCCGGTCTCTTCTTTCCTGTTGTCCATTCACTTACCTTTTGCTTTTGGAGAGTTTATCTCCAGCCAGGCCTGCGTCTCTGCTTTCCTGGTGGGAGTTGGGGCAGTGGTGTGTCCCCTGCGCCCTTCCTGGGGTGCAGCGTCCCCCGTGTGTCCCCCGCATGTCTGTAGGAGCGGAGACCTCTCTGCCCCTCCTCGCATGCTCTTTCCTTTCATGTGGTCACCACAGGGCTTTCTCACCGGCAGGTGGCCTGACTGTGGCCTCTGCCCTATGCCGAGAGTGCTCGAGGGGCCCTGGAGACTGTGCGTGGGGGGCGACCCTCAGTATCAGAGCCTCTCGTTACAATGTCTTTATCACTTCAGCATGAAAAGAGCCCTTGTTGCTTGAAAGGATGACGCTCAGCACCTGGCGGCCCACGAGGTGGCACAACGGAGCTCCGGCCAAGGTCACCAGCACGGCTGCTGGCCCGTAGTCCCGCCTGCTGAGCGCACCTCGCCCTCCTCCTGGGTGGGGGGCAGAGCAGGCACCACAGAGGGAGGAGGGGGATCCCGGTCGCCAGGGTCGTGGGGGCGGGGGAGCGCGAGCACCCCGGCTGCCCACCACTGCCCACCATCCTGGCCAGGAGCCGAGCCTGGCGGCCCGCAGAGGATGAACCAGAGGCCCGGGCACCTGGGGGCGCTGCCCGGCGGAGGAGCCCCACCAGAGCCCACGCCGTGGGGGACCCTGAACCCAGAACTTGCAGACAGGCCAACCAGCTCTTAGCCAAGAGCTGAGGGCAGCTGCCAGGGCCTGGGTGCTGACCGAGGCTGGGGAGGGGGCCCGGGGGTGCTGACGGAGGGTGGGGAGGGGCTCTTTTTGAGAAGATTAAAATATCTTAGATCATGGTGATGGTTGGCAGCTCTGCAAACAGACCGAGAACCTTGCACACGTGCATTTTTGGCCCCACCCTTGGCCTTGAGCTGTTAACCTCAGCGCCACACACGCGCCGAGACTGCAGTGTGTGGTGAGACTGGTGGGGGGGCGTCAGCATGGGGGCAGTGCTTCAGCCCCTCTGCCTGCCCTCGGCCCCCTCGGGAGGGCCGTTCTGGGGGTGGCCGGAGGGCACAGGTGTGGCTGGCACTCCCGGCTCTGTCCTCCAGCCAGTGTCCAGACGCCCAGACGGCCCTGCGGCTCCCCCCACCGCCGCCGGCTCGCTCTGCATCCGCGTGGTGCCGCTGCCTTGTCTCCCGGGTGGATTCCAAGCCCCTAGAGCGTATTTGAGGCTTTCCTTTCCTCTCCTCTCCTCGCCCCAGACTGCCCTCCACGTGCCCCCCACTCCCTGTCTCTGACCTGCTTTCTAGACTATCTGTCCTTGGGTGGGTGTGTTTGGCGGAAACTTCCAGGCTCTAAGGGGCTTTCCTGGTGGCTCAGCTGGTAAAGAATCCACCTGCAATGCAGGAGACTCCAGTTCGATTCCTGGGTCGGGAAGTCCCCTGGAGAAGGGATAGGCTACCCACTCCAGTATTCTGGCCTGGAGAATGTCATATAGTATCGTCCGTGGGGTCGCAAAGAGTCAGACGTGACTGAGCGACTTTCACTCACTTTCCCGTCCAGGCTGCAAGCAGACACCCTGTCCCCGGCCCAGGTAACCCGGCCAGTGTCTTCCGCAGCTGTGTCCCACACTAGCGCGTCTTTTGTGGCGCACGTCCTTGGGAGACGTGTGGCCCTTGGTGTTGACTGGGCCCCAGCTGAGCGGCCGGCATGCCTGTATGTGAGCAGGGGCTCCCAGGGCCCCCAGTCCCGAGCCTGCTGGCCTCACCCCCCACTGTGTGGCGTGTGCCCACTCGGCCTTTAGACCTTCTCCCCCAGGCTTCCGACCCCAGGGCTTGCTCAGGGGGCTTCCGATCTCAGACCTGGAGTGGGGTGCTTCCGTGCTGAGCCTCTGCCCCTCCCCAGGCCCCCGGGATCCTCTGTCTCGAGGACAGTCCCGTGAAGACCCGGTTCTCCCCAGCCCACCACTGCCTGCTTCCTTCTGCCTGCCCCCTGCCCTCAACCACTTGCCTCCCCAAGGACAACCAAAGAATTTAAAAGATTTTAAATAACTGGATTTTTAGGGCAGCAGCAAAACTGAGAGGAGAGTGCGTACATTTGCCAACCCCCCGTCCACACACGCGCATGGCCCGCCTGGTGTGGACAGCCCCAGCAAAGCGGCTGTTTGTCCCCCGTGCTGAGCCCACCGTGACAGCGCACTGCCTCCCCACCCGCGTGCGCGCCACTGGGTTCACTCTTGCTGCCACACGTGCTGTGGATTCGGGCAGACACACAGTGACACGTGTCTGTCATCACAGCGTCACACAGGGAGACGGTGGTCAAGACAGGGCCTGAGTGGCTGGTGAGCGTTTTGTCAGGAGGTGCGCTGCATGCGGAGCTGCAAGTTGAGCAGGCTTAGGGGAGGGCACAGCCCAGTGCTCGCCACCCAGGGTCTCAGGACTCAGGCCTGCCGCTCAGCATGTCCTGCCTGCCCGCGTCTGGTGACGCCGAGTGGGGCCGCTCCGGGGGTCCAGCAGGCACGCCGGGCTGCGTGTCTGCTGGAAAAGAGCCTCCTATCCTGGCTGCTTCCTGCCTCTTGGCAGCGTCTTTTCCAGTTCTCCGAGCGGGGCTGACCCCGGCCGTGGCAGCGAGCGTCTGGGGTCCTGACCGCTGAGCTCGCACTGAGCTCTGGGCTGCATCTTTTAGGAACGGACTTCTTCATTCCAATGACGTCCCATCCATCCATCCTCTTCTTATTGATTAATGGTTTGTGTTCCGTTGAAGAGAGCTCTGCCGCAGTCCTGGAAGTGCTCCCTTCTGGAAGCTCTTGGTTTCACGTTTTCCGCTGGAGTTGAGGACCTGTGGTTTGCCTGTCTGCTGTGAGGAGCGGGTCAGCGTTGGCTGTTCTCCCCGGGGCTCCAGTGACAGCGCGGTCTGCTGCAGGCCGGCCCTCCCCGCACACAGTGGCAGCACTTCCAGCTCAGGTGGGGTCTCTCTCTGCCGTCTCAGACACCTTGTGTGGGTCCGTCGGTGCCAAGACCAGACTGCTTTCCATGGCCGGTTTATGGCCCATCTCAGAGCCTGCAGCATGAGACCTTGGAGGTGTCTGGCCGTGCTGTTTCTCTGTATACGTTTTTGAATCAGATCGTACATTTCTGTGGGGAAAAAGAAAAGAGAACTTCTGGGATTCCAGTTGGGGTTTGTGAATCACTTGGGGTAGAGCTGACGCTCGCTGACAATGCCGACTCTTGCAGGCAATGAGTGTCCCTTGCTTCCTGCGGCGCTCTCTGCTCTCTGTCGTTCCTGATGAGGAGGTCCTAACTTCGCTGGTTAGATTGATGCCTCGCATTTGTGTGTTGAGCTGAGGTGGACGGCGTCTTTCCCTCCCAGTGTACAGAAGGACAGTGTGATGCTGACAACATGGGCGTCAGTGGCGAGTCTCGCCCGCTGAATGTGGGGCCCTTGTTTTCTCCGTGTGCGCAGCCGTGTCTGCGCATCTTTGCTGGTCCCTTCTGACGTGATCTGCGTGGCCCTCCGCCGTCTGAGGCCCGCCTCCGTACCCCGTGGTGGTGTAAGGCGTGAGGGGGCATCCCCGCCTCTGGAGACGCTTCCAGCGCTTTGCCTCAGACGCCTGGTCTGGGCTTTCTGTCGATGCCTCTGTGAGCCTTTATCAGATAACAGGTTGGGGCGTCTCCTTTCTCCTGCTCACCGAGAGCGCCTGTTGTGAAGGGCATCGGCTCGTCAGTGTATTTATGGGCATGGGCATCGAGTGCCGTGGTTTCCCCGTGACCTGCGCTGAGGGGAGTTACAGGGTTTCACTTTTCGGCCGCACCTCGCGGCGTTCGGGGCCCTGGTTCCCTTCCCGCTTTGCGTGGTTGTGCTCTGCAAGGCCTTTGACCAGATACACGGGAATCAGGCCACCCTCGACACCCCATTTCCCTCTGTCTGTGGCGCTTGGAGCGACAGCCCCTCTGTCGCGCCTTGCATTTGTGATTTTGCCATTTTCCTCTTTGATCCGTATTGCTAGGGGCTTGCCAGTTTTATTGGTCTTTTTCTCGGTAGCGGCTTTGTCGAGGTGAAATTCACGTGGGAGGTCGTGTACGGCAGTGGTGTTCGGCCACCCTCATGCCGCGTGCCGCCGTCACAGTCAGCGTTAGAGCGTCGTGGTCGCCTCAGA